GAGAGAGAGAGAGAGAGAGAGAGAGAGAGAGAGAGAGAGAGAGACGGACAGACGGATCCAGGGGGTAAAAAGGGGGTCGTCGTCGCGGACGTCGGAGGAACGAGTCGGAGAGCGCGTGCATGGGGACGCAATATCGTGCAATTTTCAACAGACGTTTATTCAACGGAAGTTTGTAACTTCGGTGCGGGATCGTCTGGACGTTCTTCGGGGATCCTCGCCGTCGGTCGATCTGCGGCGAGGCGTGGAGGCGGACGTTGAAGAGAGAGAGAGAGAGAGAGAGAGAGAGAGAAAGAGAGAGAGGAGAAAGAGAAATGCTCATGAACATGAATGTTCATTTCGCGAAAATCGCTGTGAATTCGCAGTACGTTGTCTGTCGCTTGCTCGCGCTCGCTTGAGTTGTATAATAATCTAACTGACGAATGATTCTTCACTCTCCGTGTGAAGCCTTGTGCACACACTGAAGGGAAAATACTTGAAAACTTACTTGTAGGACACATAAAGTTTGTGTCCACAGAAGGAAACCTTGCTTTACAGAAATGAACTTTACACCCAGCAAGTGAATTTTCAAGCGTCCGTTTTCTCCGGTGCAGCAATAACGCACTATGAGAAAGAAACACTTGAAAATTTATTTACGGGATCAAACGTTTACTTCACAGAAATGAGCTCTGCATCCTGCAAGTAAGTTTTCAAGTGTAGTTTTGCAAGTTTTTCAAGTGTGTGTGCAGCAGTAACGCACTGAGAAAAAAATATTCGAAAATATTTGCGGGATAAAAAAGTTCACTTCGCAGAGAAGTTAACCTTATCTCACGGAGATATAAGCTTTGTTTTACAGAAATCAACTTTTACACTCCACGGATAAAAATGTATTTTTTTCTCAGCGCGATCGGCATGTCGCGTAATCCCAAGCGACGTCCCGGTCGCCCAGCGACCGGTATCTTTCCAGGGAACATCCGTCGCGGAACACAATCGATCGACTTCGCGGCGCGATTTTTCTTTTTTCCGTTTTCCAAAGAAGAGCAGCTCCTCGCTCTGGCGAGGCGGCACATTGCGACGCCTGAAATGCAATTTATTCTCGAGGTATTGAAACGCTCTTCCCACGACTGTATGTCGAGGCGAGTCGCGAGCCTTGGTGCGCGAATTCACGCTGATTGTCTCGAAGACCGAATTGTGCTACATCGATTCCTCTTTTTTTGTTCTGTTAATTTACCTTCCCCCCCTTTTTCAAAGACTTTCGAGAGTGTGTACCTTTCCTCCGTGTCGGCTGTCGGCGTCCATTCGTCCAGCACCGTTCTGTGTGTCGTACCGGTTAGTGATAGAGTTCACGTAGGTGTAATAAGGCGCATAGGGTAAAATTCTCGTAAATTGTACACGAAGCTTCCGGCGATCGCGCTCGATTGGTCGACGAGAGAAGGAAGAAAAAAAGAAAGGAAAGGGAGAGGACGAGTCGACGCGATCGCCGGATCGCACGAGCGTTCTAGCTTCATAATTTAGTCACGAGACAACACAAGGAGTCCACATATACACACACATACACACGGAGAAAGAGAGGGAGAGAATGAGAGGTACACTCGCCCCGCAACTTATACGATTACATACATACATACGCGTACAATTACACACGCATACACACACGGACAGCGGCAGTCAGCGCGTGGTGGAACACGATTGAACACGCGGTTAAAGGCGAAAGTGTAAATTTTGTATCTTCGAGATTGTGTATCGTTATTGTAATAATAGTATATATATATATATATATATATGCAAATGGAGAAGAGAAAAAATAAAAACTATATATATATATTTCGAGACGCGTGGCGGTCGACCGTCGCGCGCGTTAAGTGATTGTGCATAATTAGCAACTAATTGCGCATCTCGTAAACCCGCATATAGATAGTCAGCAGGATGTAATTGACGACTCATCGGCGAGCGAAAAGCCACGAGCATGTGTGTGAGAGAGAGAGAGAGAGAGAAAGTGAGAGAAAGAAAGAGAGAGAGAAAGGTCGTACGGGGTGAGAGCGCCGGGCGATCGTTAATACATTGTCATTGTCATTGTCGATCATTCGATTGATTGTCCATTGATTGATTGATTGCTACTCGTGAGAGACTCACTCGCTTGAGTTCCGACCACATTGTGATTTTCGATTTTACCTACACTCGCGTATGTTTTTTGCGACTAAATAGACGTACGTAGGTAATACGAGGGCCGAAGGAGAAGAAAAAGGGAAAAAGAAGAAAATGATGGTAAGGGATAGGGGAAGGAGGCGACGTACTTTTTGTCAAATGTTCGTGTGATTTCGTGGGAGGATATCGCGCGCGCGTACTTTCTCCTCTCGCCGCAAAGACGAAAAGAAGAAGGTTTGGTGGGCGAGAGACGACGATCCCGTTTTTGAGAGAGAGAGCGAAGGAAAGAGGAGGACGGTGGTGGCGGTGGCGATGATTTTCCAAAAGACTGAGGAAAGGAAGGGAAAGTGTCGACGGTACTTTCGTGCGAGCCCC